TTTCAAACTTAAAATCTGAAAAACAACTTGGGTAAAACTTGGGTTTTACAAAAGACTTGGAAAACCCGACGCCTGGGTCGGTGCTTGCGAACTAAATGAATTTCCAAAACCGCGGACCGGGGAACGTACCGGGTGTACGGTTTTCCCGCTCCCGCACTTAAGGACCGATTCCTTGAAATTTCATCCGAACATAAGACAAGTACGACCACATGGGTGGAATGGGACACCCCTGGCTGAGTAACTAGCTTATCAGGGGAGCCATGATGCCGAGAGACATGTGGATTTGCCGGGGTGGTGTCGGAGAGGACCCCCTTGGGCTTCCTGGCACAGTATGGTCTGGGACCTAACCTGTTGTTGGTCTGGGACCCCTCTCGTCGGCATATGGTAAGCCTGTGTCGGCTTTGGAAATGCCTTGTCATGAAAGCTTGGAGGTCTCCCGACGTGGCTGATCCCCACGGGCTGGGCGATCCGGGTTAGTAATGTCGTGTGGGTAAAGTGTACCCCCTCTGCAGAGGTTAACTAACTGTTCGAACAGCCGTGCCCACGGTCATGGGCGGATGTGAGGTGATTCCTAACGTAGTTTTGTTTGACTACTGCTTGTGAAATTGCTGTTGTGAAAAGGGGTTTGATGTTTGAAAAATCTGTAGCTGACGGGATCAGCTAGGCCCGGGTGGCCGTTTGAAAAGTTGTTGGCCCGGGTGGCCGTTGAAAAGCTGTTGGCCGAGTGCCAACCTTGTTTTAAGATCTAAAGACTGATACATTGCACATACTCCGACCGGACGGGACGCACTGTCTCAACCGTGTCGTTTGAGAAGCACTCACTTAGTTGTTTCAGAAAAGAGTTCAAATAAAATCAATTGCAAAAATACCAGCCTTTCTTTGAAGCCTGCATTAAACACTTATTTCCCCTGGCTTGCTGAGTACTCCTGTACTCACCCTTGCTCTATATAAATAACCCCCCCAGTTGCTGAAGAAGATGAAGCGGATCCTGCTGATGACGAGTTCTTCCAGGAGCAAGCCGGTTACGATGAGTTTTAGGGTTTCGGCCTAGTTCCCAAGTCGCGCCTGTGTTGTTTGGTCCAAGCCCTGGCTTCCGTTTCCCTTTTGTAATGCAGTTGTGAGCTCGGGATCTGTCCGCAGCCCAACATGACTGTACTCCTACTCTATAATAAAGAGACCTCTGTTGCTGTGATATTCTATCTTCCTGTGATACCAGCACTGTTTCCTGGGACTGGTATCGATTAACAGGTTAATTTGGAGCGTCACAGGCTAATTCCAGTCGGGACTAGCTCGGGGCGTGACAGTTCCTGAGCTGGCAAAGGAGAGCGGGCCGAGCGTCCTCCACACCCAACGCGCCACCCTGCACAGCTAGCCGCCATCGTCGCCTCCGTGCTCATGAGGGTGGTAGTCAGAGAGAGAGAGGGAGAGGGAAGGGGAAGCGACAAATAAGAGGATAAGGTGCTAGATTTTTATTTGTAGTAGTTATCCCGTGTGTACGGGATGCTGTTGAGTAGTTTTTTTTTTGTTGGATATAAGGCTAGAGCAAGCCTAGCCTAATTTGGCAAGGTTAGTTGTTTGGTACCATTAAGAAAATCTTGCTATTAAGGATAAGATAACACGAAAAGACAAGAAAAAGGTAGCTTACGAGGGAGAGCCGATTCGGCTTGTGTTCAATGACGACCCTTTCTTGTGTGATCCTCAATTAGTTAGACACATAAGCCTAACAAACATCAAAGAATCGGTTTACTTTACTAGACTATAGTTCAGAATAGCAAACAACGAAATGTACACAATATTATTAGTGTTACACGCAAACAATTAAGAATATAACACTCAATGGCTGAGCATGGGTCAAACACATGAAACATTTATATTAAAGTTACAAGAATTACCATAAAAGAATGGCATATACTCCCTCTGTTCTTAATTAAATAAGTATAGTTTTAATTAGTTAAAGACATATTAACTTATTAAGCAAGATATTAAAAGACTAACTATAGTTTTAGTTATTAAGTACTCCCTCCGTCCCCTAATATAATGGATTTTTGATATTTTATATAACGTCCCACCTCTCCGAGGCCGGGCCTGTTTGTTCTCACTCATGCGCATGCTTGTTTACATCTTGCAGCTTTCATAGGTCATAGACTGCCCTCACAAACCAACATAAGTCTTGTCCTCACTCATGCTCACTCGGGAGAATTTCCCAATTAGTCACCCATCCCTAAATTGACTAAGCATGCTTAACCTCAGAGTTCTTTAGAGATCGACTTCCGGAAAAGAAGTTGCAACTTGTTGATATGAGTATTCTATTAATCCTATTAAGCCCTGAGTCGGGATGTCACATCCTCACCCCCTTAAGAGAGATCGACGGACGTCGATCAACCCCAGACCCAGTGCCAGCACATGTGCCATGCTGTGTGACCACTCCGGGTTCACACCAGCCATGCGCACCATGCCTGTGCAACTGCGACACACGTGCCCGTGAAACCGCGAGAGTCGGCTCTGATACCACTTTGTAACTTCCCGCCTCTCCGAGGCTGGGCCCACTTATATCTGGCAGCTTTTATAGATTATAAACTGCCCTCACAAATCAACATAAATCTTTTCTACATACTTTGTCCTCACTTTTTTTTAAGCAAAGCTCGCGTGATGGTGCTTGCGGTCGACGGTGAGGAGTTCACACTTGACACCGTGGGAGAGCTCAAAGGCGATCTGCCGATTGCAAATCTAAGATACACTCGGCCGGCTCGAAGGCCGTGGCACAGCTTGTGCACTACTAGGAGCTTCAATTCAAGCATCGAATAGGAGCTCGTTCTCACGATGGTTGAATTAATCATGTGTTGAAAAAATACAACGACTACATCATCCACCAAATATATATGCTGGAATTTAGGGTCCCTTTGATTCGCAGGATAGGAAAAACATAGGAATAGAAAAAACGTAGGAATTAAAGTAGTATGATTCTTCAACCCCGTGAGAATAAAAAACACAGGAAAAGATGAAATGTGCCCTTTAATAGTGCTATAGGAAAAAACACATGATTTCTCTTCCAAAGAGGTCAGACCTCTTTCTTTTTTTCCTGTGAAAATGAACTAAAGGGATGCAATCCTTAGGAATGTTTTCTTTCATTTCCTATGAATTAAAGGCCTCCATAGGAAATAATCCATAGGATTGTGAATCCTATGGAAAAAATCCTATACCGATCCTTTGAATCAAAGGAGCCCTTATCCTAACTCGGCTTGCAATGCGGAGCTTATCTTGACTTCTCTCATGTCAGGCTTGCAACGCGGAGGTTATCTTGGCTTCTCTCATGCCATGGAAAAAAGAGAGGGTAAGGGTGTTTATTATCAATGGCAAGGTTGATCAGCCCATCTATCATATCATATGGGTCACTTCAATCTCTACTCTCTAGTTACACTCATAACACCGAATATATGATAACAAAAGCTACTTATAGCTTGTTATTTAAAACTATGACAAATTCAGGAATTCAAATCGATATTCCGGAAGGGGCAATTGGGGACAGGGCATAAGAAATGCTGACATGGAAACAAAATAAAAACTTAGGGGGAGAAATAGAGGTTGCTACACATTGGACGTCCGATATTTAGCAAAGGATCGGACGTTGTTCACCCACATACTACTATTTGACTGCATGCAAAAAAAAAAAAGAAAGAAAGAAAAACCATCATAGTTAAGCTGCTATGCTCCAAGCCTATACCCTACTCTCGTGCATGTCTCTCTATTCATCTTCTCTACCAATAAACCTTTAAACTATTTTTCCTTCTAAATTACTTATCCGATGTACCATCCGATTTCACCATTGTGTTCATTACAATTAAATCTTTACAATAAGGTCTCACTTAGCTATATTTCTGATAAAATTTATAAATATGATTATATTACTAATTGAAACATTTATATATTATACGAGAAACAACGAGTTATAATTATTCAAAGATCAGAAAATATTCATTGCAACATCCCAAGCAACACGTGCAACATTTATAAATGAGTTAGTGAAATATTAGAAAATACTTACTAGAACATCCAATAATACCACGTGCAACATTCACAAATAAACTTGTGAAATGTCAGAAAAATATTTATTGAAACATCGGAATAACGCCATGCAACTATATGTGTTTTAGAAAAATCAACCTTTGTTTTATCACTTGTACGGATAACTCAACCTACTTTAGAAAATGTTTCAGATATATGTAACTTATAAAAATTACTAAATGCAACAATAACCACCGTCACATGAAACACTAGGTCCCAACTACTGAAACATAAAAAAAATATGATGCAACGTATTTGCAAATATTGATTTGTTAAAATTTTATATCATTCTTAAAACATTAACATGCAATTTTTGAAATATAAAAAAAATTATTTGTTGAAACATATAAATAGATCACGTGCAACAATAACTATATAAAAATTATTGGCTGCAACAATAACCATCATTACATGAAACATTAGGTCCTACCTAGGAAAACATAAAAATATATATGATGCAACATATTTGCAAATACTTTATTTTGTTAAAATTTTATATCACTCTTGAAACGTCAAGTTGTATTTTTTGAAACACAAAATATATTTACTGAAGCATATAAAAAGACCACATGCAACATTATACCTGAATCAATAAAACATGAGTAAACACTTATTGAAACATTGGAATAACATTATGTCATAAAAACTATCGGAATATTGTCATATGAGATTTTGTTATAAAGAGTTAATTATAACAAATCCAATGGTATAATTAGTTCATAATTCAGATAAATAGTTTAAGAGAAAATACCATTTAAATTTTGAATCTATGTGACTTGCATAAACACTCCATTTGCTACATGCACTTGTCACGCCACTACTACTCCTTTGGGTTGGGGTGTCCCATTTTTCCTTCTTCGATGATAAGCATTTTCAGGGAGAAATGCTTGCAACTTCTGTTGGCTCAGGTACGCACACATGTCCACGTGCCCGGCTCTCCCGGCACCGGATCAACTTCCGCCATTTTCTCTCGCTCGCCTCGCCATTTCTCTCTTCTCAAATGCCTTAGCGATCCGCAGCGCACGCACGCACGGACGGACGCCATGGACGAAGCCCTGGTGGGCAGGCTGGAGGCCGCGGTGTCCCGGCTCGAAGCTCTCAATGGCGCCGCCGGTGCCACGGCGAGAGGCGGCTACGGCGGCCAGGTCGACCACGCGTCGGCGCATGACCCAGCGATCCTGGCGTTCGACGAGCTCGTCGCCGGCGCCGTCGGGAGGGTGTCGGCGGCGGCCGGCAAGATCGGGGCGGAGGTCGCGGAGGTGACCAGGGTGCTGGAGAAGGCGTTCTTGGTTGGGAAGGACCTTCTTGTCAGGACCAAGCAAACTCAGGTGTAAAAAATTGCCATATTTCTTTCTTTCGTTCTTTTAATAGATTGCAGATTCACATCGAATTCGTCGCAATTCGCACCTATTTGTTCACGCATTTGAGGATACATTGGCATTGTTGTGATTGATTGCGTTTAATGTGTTCGATCGCTTTGACACGCAGAAGCCAACCGTGGATTCCATCGCAGTATTCATGGGGCCTCTGAATGAAACAATATTGGAGGCAAATTCATTGGCAGAGGGGACAAGATCGAGCCATGGCAACCATCTGAAAGCAGCCGCCGGTAGCCTGGCCGCTCTGGCGTGGATTGGGTACACCGGCAAAGGTTGCGGTTAGTGTCTAGTCCCAACCTTTCGGTAGGCTAAGTACTTGGTAGTCAGAAAACTTCAAACATGCATGCGCCATTGCGACAATACATGTTCAAGTTCAATCCTGCAAACTGATGTTTTTCCTCAGTAAGTGGTTTGATAGTGTGGGGGCTAATTGGTTTGTGGATTTATTTTTTCAGGTATGCCCCTTCCTATTGCTCATGTAGAAGAGAGTTGGCAAATGGCAGAGTTCTACAGCAATAAGGTCAGTAACTTCAACTACAAGTTCTGAAGTAAAATAGCGGTACACAGCTCGTCGTGGTCTGGTTCTGGTAAGGCGGTAAGGTGCTTCAAATTGGAGGCAAATTACAATGGTGTAGTATTACTGTTTTTAACATAAAGAAGAGGATTGATGTCAGTTTGAAACAACATTATAGATCAAGAACAGACATTCGGTTAATGCCCATGATTTTTCCTTTGTTCAGAGATTTAAAAGAACCAAGAAACTGAGCAGTCCTTTTTATTTTTTTCCTAGAGTGAAAAGCAGAATTACAGTAACACGGCATAGGCACTTCCTTTGTTCAAGACTTGAGAAATAAAACATTGACAAAACCTTTTGATGAAAAGATGAGGATACTATGCAAGTGTGCATTGATTCCTGCTTCATACTTAATCGATGACGGGCGTATTTATACGGATTACTTATTGTGGGAAATTAAAATTACATTTTTAAAGTCTTGAATAGCCAAGATCCAATATCTAGTGTAGTGGTAGGGGTGTGCGGCTTCAACCTCGTGGTCCCATGTTCGACTCTTGACACGCTCACACTTTCTTCTTAGTTAGTTCCTCCTTGGTTGTCCAGTGTGTTTCAGCCCGGCGAAAAATCTTGAATAGGCTTAATCTTACTAATATCAAATGAAATTACCTTCAGGTGCTTGTGGAGTACAAAAGCAAGGACCCTGATCATGTAGAGTGGGCAAAAGCTCTAAAAGAGCTCTTCGTGCCTAGTTTGCGTGACTATGTGAAGACATTCTACCCTTTGGGCCCTGTGTGGCAACCTCCTGGGAGTTCAACAAGCAAAGCACCTTCTGCTCCCTGCCCTCCTTCTGCATCTCTTTTCAGTTCTTCAGCTCAATCATCACAACCAAAAACCGGAATGTCCGCAGTCTTCGCTGAAATCAGCTCTGGGAAATCAATGACACAAGGTCAATACATTTTCGTGTTGGATTTCAGTGACCACATTTTTCATTCTCAATTTATGTACTCTATGTGATGAGTAGTGCTTCATCTTCTACAGGTCTTAGGACGGTGACAGCTGACATGAAGAGCAAGAATAGAACGGATAGAACTGGTGTTGTAGCTGCTGAAGGAAAAGAAGCTCATAAGAAACCCTCCTCTAGTTCAACCAAATTACCTTCTAAATTGGAGCTCCAAATGGGTCGCAAGTAACTGCAGTTTCCCTTTTTGAATTATTGTGTCCAGAAATATCAAAATGAATGAAAGTAATCTCACATCATTTACGCCATTGTCTATCAGATGGATTGTTGAACATCATGTTGGCAACAAGAACTTAGTAATTGAAGATTGTGATACCAAGCAATCCATATATGTATTTGGATGCAAGGATTCTGTGCTACAGGTCAAAGGTATTTCGGCGTCAATCTACTTAAAGAACTTACATGAGATGCATTATTGTTGACACGAACTGATTAAGCATGCTTCTCTGTATTGTTTTGCAGGAAAAGTGAACAACATAACTATTGATAAGTGTAGCAAAATGGGATTATTGTTCAAGGTATATTTCAAAAAAAGTAAAGCATCTCTAATGCATATTGATTTCTTTACTAATTCTCTTCATATAATTCAGGGTGTTGTCGCTGCTTGTGAAATTGTGAACTGCAACAGTATAGAGGTCCAATGTGAGGTAGATGAGATCTGCTTTCTTGATATCCAATATTTTGTTGAATGGAGTAGTTTGGATTTGGTCTCATCGATGAAAATAGCCTCATATGTAATTTACTTAATTATGCAGGGCTCTGTACCAACTATATCGATTGATAACACTTCTGGCTGCCAACTTTATTTAAGCAAGGAATCTTTAGAGACATCTATAACAACTGCTAAATCTAGTGAAATCAATGCTCTTGTTCCAGATGCAAACAGCGACGGCGATTGGGTGAGTACTTCTCTAAATTCTTTTCATTCACCATTTGATTCTCTTCTATTTAAATTTGGACTATAGTTAGATCGTGTGAAGCAAGTATAAGTAGCTATTTATATATTTTTGGTTTTATTATTCGTTTCATGACTCTCAAGATTCAAGGTTTCTAAACCTTATTTTCTCTCTTTCTGCATAATAATAATTATACTGTACTTAGTCTTAGAGAAAGAAAGCAGGAACTTTTTCTCCTTAAGAAAAGAATCGTAGAAAGGTACCCAAATCAGAGCCACTCAGTCTTAACCTATGGGGAGGTACACCCACAATATCCTACCAATTGAGCCAAGGTCAACCACTTTACTTGACACTTGAAAAGTTGGATTTCTAGAAATGTGGAATTTTTGTCTTCATATTGTACCATAATGCGTGCCAATTCTGCCTGTAGCTGATAAGGCGTAAAACAGCTTATCAGCAACAAAAATATAATTTGTGAGTAGAAAAATTATATCCGTGTCCTTAGCAAAATTCGAAAATTAAGTTTTGAATTCAAATTTTGGCGACGGCTTATAAAGTGAAAGGCAAACAATGTGAGGCCTGAGTCATCTCTTTTTAATATTTTCAGGCCGAGCATTCCTTACCCCAGCAGTTCATTCATGCTTTCAAAGATGGGCAATTTACAACATTACCAGCATGTCATTCAGGCGGCTGACCTACTTCACCATCAACGCCTTTCATTATTGGAGTTCGTTTTCTTTTAATTGTTTAAATTAACTAACCAGTTACCCTTCCATCCTGGTTTGTACATAGAGCAAGCCAGTCCTGTTCATTTGGCTCAGGTACTGCACATTTTCCTCTACCACAACGTATTAATCCTACAGTTCCAACTAGGAAGAATAATCTTCTGTCAGGCTGTATGCAATTCAGTAATTTTGTAACTGTTCTACTGAATGTAATAGTACTCTCAAGTCTCAATTCTCCAACAAATAAAATGGCATCAATTCACTTTTACACGGGTGCAACAACAAAAAATAAAAATCTTTGCGACAAATTTGTGTTACTGATGACCGATGAGATCACCTCTCAAACTTTCATGTATATCCAGAGGGCGTGTTCCTTTTACATTGCTGACTACATCATGTTTACATTTCACTATATCTTTTTAAGTATGATCAAAACAAAAACCAAACAATAGCTGGATATCTCAGGCAAGCTAGCTCATGCCAGTTTCATCAGCACGCCGGAATTCCAGCAGCCAACTTTGCTCTCAGATCCTTCCTCAAAATCTTTCCCGACGGCGCCTTCGGGATTGCGTCCACGAAGAAGATCTTGTGCAGCCTCTTGTAGAACACCACCTGATTATTCAGAGATAAACCCAGCGTTCAGTTCACCTCGATGCTAAGGTTAATAATTAGTTTGCAGAACCAATATTCTTGATCGATCATGATCTCTCACCTGCTTTGCGACGTACTGCTTGATCTCGTCGTCGGTGATCCCCGAGCCGTCGCGTGCGACGACGAACGCCACTGGGATCTCGCCGCAGGAATCGTCCTTCATTCTGCATCGTTGAGAAAAATTCAGCCATTCAGTCGTCAAGCCGATGTTCAGAGCCTGAAATTGCGAATGCCAAATGCGCGCGTGGCGAGGTTGATCATGCCGGAGTCCGGATACTTACGGGACGACGGCGGCGTCGGCGACGGCGGCGTGGGCGATGAGCATGGCCTCGAGCTCGGCGGGGGCGACCTGGAAGCCCTTGTACTTGATGAGCTCCTTGAGCCGGTCCACGATGAAGATCTCGTCGTCGTCGTCGACGAAGCCGATGTCGCCAGTGTGCAGCCACCCGTCCTTGTCGATCGTCTTCTCGGTCGCCTCCGGGTTGTTCAGGTATCCTGCACGTACGCACACGCAACGCGCCAAGAACCGGCGACGAGTCAGCTTCGACCCAGTCAAAATTTGCTCCGTTTTTTTTCGAATGAAAGTAAACTCAAAAAATTGTGAATGAATTTGGGCAGTGTGTGTACCTTTCATGATTTGTTTTCCCCTGATGCAAATCTCCCCCGGCTGGTTGCGCGGGAGTGACAAGCCGGTGTCCGGGTCGACGATCTTCAGCTCGGCGTTCCGCACCACCGTGCCGCACGCGCCGGACTTCACCGGCGTCGGCTCCTTCGCGAACGCCATGCACATTGATAGCACCGGCCCTGCCTCCGTCATCCCGTACCCCTGCTCGATCAAATTCACATCAAATTTCCACTTGGATGTTGTTGTTGTTTTTATTGTTTGATTTGGTCCTTGTGTTCGTCTAGTTTGGGTTATACCTGTCCGAGGACGGCGTTGGGGAGCTTGGCGTGGACGATGTCCTGAAGCTCCTTGCCCATGGGGGCGGCGCCGGAGATGACCATGCGGATGGAGGAGAGGTCGTGGCGGTCGAGGGCGTCGCTCTTGGCCATCTCGACGACGATGGGAGGGACGAGCGGCGCGATGGTGACGCCGTGGCGCTCCACCAGCTGCAGCATCTTGACGGTGTCGAACCGCTTCATGACCACGATGGCGGCGCCGGCGCGCATCCCGCAGAGGAGGATGGAGTGGAGGGAGTAGACGTGGAACATGGGGAGCACGCAGAGCACCACGTCGTCCTCCCGGAGGTGGAGGTTCGGGTTCTCGCCGTCGACGAGCTGCGCCACGCTGGTCACCAGCCCGCGGTGCGACAGCATCACCCCCTTGGGGAGCCCCGTCGTGCCCGACGAGTAGGGCAGCGCCACGGCGTCGTTGGCGACGTCGATGGCGACCTCCGGCAGCGCCGAGCCGTCGGCGGCGGCGAGGCCCGCGAACGACGCGCACCTCTCGGCGCCGCCCCCGGTGGCGACGACGGTCACGCCCGCGAGGCCGCTCACCTTGGCGACGAACGCCGGCTCGGTGACCACCACCGTCGCGCCGGACGCCGCCACCTGCTTGGCGATCTCCGGCGGGGTGTGCAGCGGGTTGGCCGTGGTGGTGACCGCCCCGAGCCGTGACGACGCGAGGAACGCCACCGCGAACTCGACGGAGTTCGGCAGCAGCAGCATCACGGTACTACCATGGCAAACACCAATCGAGCTCAACCCAGCCGCCACGCGGCGCGACAGCGCGTCGACGTCGCCGAACGAGAGCGTCTCCCCCGTGGCGCCATCGATAAGGCATGCCCGGTCGCGGCGGTCGGCGAGGCGCTCGAACACGTAGTCGTGCAGCGGGAGGTGGTCCGGGATGGCGATGTCGGGGAGCCTCGAGCGGAAGACGAACTGCTCCGGCAACGAACCCATTCTTCTTCTCCGGCGACGGCGACAGCGGCGGCGGCGGCGACTACCTCTTCTCCGGTGGGTAGGTGAGCGGAATGGAAGTGCGCGTGATGACAACTACCGATTCCTGAGGAGTGGAAGCAGCTGGAGAGCTCGGATTTATAGTGGAGGCAAATGGTGTTTGGTGGGGGAGCTCGGAATGGTTGTGTTTTTGACTTCTTGAGGAGGACGAAGACCAGATCACCGGTCCTTCTTCCCAACCCATCTTCCTTATTTTACACACACACTTTTCAATTAATTAAATGGTGTATTTTTATAAAAAGTTTGTATACGAAAGTTATTTAAAAATTAAATTAATCTATTTTTTTTAAAAAAATAGTAAATACTTAATTAATTACTCGCTAATCGCTACTACGTTTTCCGTGCGAGCACTTAGTATTAGGAACAGGATTCCCAACACACCCCAGATCGCCGGTCCATGTCCAAAGAGAGTGGTCGCTGCTGTGCTAGGACAGTGGCTAAGTTAAATTAAGAATTTTATTTACTCTAAACTAATCCAGCAATTGGGCAACATGAACAATACATTTCACACTGTACAAAACGTGCACCTGAGCGTGAACGCATCTTTTGCTCAGCTTGTGAATCAGAATCTACTTGTACTCGCCAAAGAAAAAAAAGGATCTGATTTTAGATTTTGGTATTCAATTTTATGGTTAAGTTTAGGGATTACCTTCGTAGGTTTCAGTGCTTGGCTGTTGGGTCTGTTTTTATGATTGCTAATAACACAAGTAAAATATTTATCTAAACTTAATTCTTAAAAGGAAGATGTAAAATCAATTTGGATTCAACATGGTAGGATTTTCACTCCTATAAATAACTCTAAGAGCGAAGTCTGAAGTGAAATTATGAAGTAACCCAACACCGCTTCACCTCTTTAATTTATTTGTTTTACATCATTTTAATCCTCTCTGTTCTTTTTTAGATGGAGTAGTCCTGCTAAACAGGTCCACATCTACTCCACTCCAATGCTCATCCACTCTACGCGTCCCTGTACCACATTGTGTGTCATTCAATAGGCTGGTAACTATTGTTTTTTCTCAATAAAATCTTCTTTAGATTTAGCACATCCACACAATACATATTTAGAAACAAAGAAGCACTCCGTTAGCAAGCTTGAGTACCCATTTATGTCATGCACTTTATCCATTAGCAAGCTTGAGTCCAGATGGAAAGAGGTTACTAACTCCGTTCTATAATAGATGTCGCTTTGACTTTTTCTTGCAACGTTTGACCATTCGTTTTATTTTAAAAACTAGTGCAAATATAAAACATGATAAGTAATACTTTTGATCATAAAACAAGTCACAAACAAAATAAATAATAATTTCAAAATATTTTGAATAAGACGAATGATTAAACATTAAAATAAAACTTAAAGCGACAAGCAATATGGGATGGAGGTAGTATAATACAAAACCTGATCACATCACTAAAAAACTAGGCCAAGTGAAGCATCGCCTAAAGACTTATTTTTGGAAGAAAAATCATTGGACCTATGTGTGGATTTTCATGAAAATAGTATGGTTCCACGTAAATCAGATATTCTCATATAGAACCTCATCATTTGCCATAAAAAGAATTATTTATTGCAAAAATTTTAATTTTTAAAATAATTTAATTTGTTTTTAAATCGCTAACGACATATATAATACAATTACCTACAAATTATTTCTTGTGCGCTAATAAATCGTTTTGGCTTGTAATCAGAGCTCTTCACCAACCGATGAGACGATGGGGCTTGATAAGCTCAACAAAGGCTGAGTTTAGTTCAAAACTTTTCCTTCAAACTTTCAACTTTTCCATCACATCAAAACTTTCCTACACACATAAATTTCTAACTTTTCTGTCACATCGTTCTAATTTCAACCAAACTTTCAATTTTGGTGTGAACTAAATATACCCAAAAAAACAAAAAACTACTACAGTCAAGAAACCATCTGTGCAGTACACTTTGGCCCTGTTTAGATTCCAACTTTTTTCTTCAAACTTTCAACTTTTCTATCACACCGAACTTTTCTAAACACAAAAACTTTCAACTTTTCCGTCACATCATCACAATTTCTTCAAACTTCTAATTTTGGCGTGGAACTCAACACACCCTTTGCTAACTAAATCCACACGAACGTGTTCTTACAAGCAAAAAAAAAAAAACCACCTGAACGGTTCAGTGCACAGTGGCTGAGTGCTCACCGGGTCACTCCTCACTACGCTGTACGCATTGCCAAATGCCAACCACGCGTTCCATGCGTGCATAGTGTAGTAGTATCATGTGCGAAGCGAAACGCCCCTGCTCTGCGTCGTTTGCCCGGTTCCATACTTCCATTAAACGGGACCAGTCCAAAATGGAGTTATGGTTGGTGGCCGTTTGACCGAGCATCTGGAGCCGAGCTACTACCACCACGGCACCACCAATCCCCCCACACCGCACCACACACACGCGCCGACGCGCGACACCGCCCTCGGTCAGCCTGGTCCTCACCAACCGTGCGTGCGTGCGTGCGTGGGAAGTCGGAAGCATCCACGGTCCTGTGGCCTCCTTGGGGCTATGCGTCCAGTAGCGCGGTCTAGCCGGTCTCGGGTTGGTGTGGTGTGCGTGCCGGTTTGTGACTTGTGAGTGCGTTGAGGCGGCCGGCTCCGGTCGATGTGGGTGACGAGTTTGACGACAACTTTCTGCAGTTTGGACTTGCTCGCGGGCGTTGCTGTGGTAGTTGGTTGGTACGGTGCTGGTGGGAAGCTGGTCGTAGCCGTCGGATATTTGGGGGGGTGGTATTGGCAAATCGTGTCCGTCCGAACTGGGGTGTGGCGTCGCTCAGACTTTCACATGGCTACCAACCCACTTTGGTTTTTCCTTTCTATGGCCGGGTTTATTTCGTTTACCAATTTTTTTTAAGTATACAAACACATATTTGAAATATTAAACGTAAACTAATAACAAAACAAATTACAGATTCCGCCTCTGAACTGCGAGACGAATTTATTAAGCCTAATTAATTTATCATTAGCAAATGTTTACTATAGCATCACATTGTCAAATCATGGACTCAAAATATTCGTCTCGCAATTTACATGTAAACTGTGTAGTTGGTTTTTTTTCGTCCACATTTAATGCTTTATGTATGTGTCCAAAACTTTAAATATTTGATGTGGTGGAATTTTTAGAAGTTTAAAGGGAACTGAGCACTGTCATATACCCTATAGTGTGGTTAATTTTTCTTTTCCGAATTCGGCAGGCAGGACAGGAGGAAGGGAGTGGGAACACGAGGGATATTGCTTGAATCTCAGCCGTCCAATCAGAGGTAGTTTTGAGATTGACCGTGCTATAGTTCCACGCGCACAGTAATATTGCCTTGACACACATTTTCGTTGTTCGATGGAAAAAGTCCATGATATAACCCTAAACTTTAGATAAAAGTTCAACAAACACCTTGAATTTTAAAACCGGACATATAACACCTAAACTTTATAATATCGTTTCTGTAATCCTTTATGGTGATTTTACAAAATGTCTATATATTTTGCATACAATGTTGGTTGCATATATGTTGGATGAGTTTTACTATGTGATATGCACATTGAACATAGTACATGTTAAATCTTCACTTAAATGTCCGTTTTATCCCCTTATCTCACACTTATATAAAGAATACTAGCATATAACATCACTACAGAGTACTAAACTTTATGATATGTAAGGGCCAATGATTATGATATGTAAGTATACTATGTTAGTATTTTCAAAATCGCCCGATTAAACTTTAAAATTCGTACAACTAAGGTCCAAAACCACTTTAGAGGCAATATAAACAGTATTATAAATTTTATGGATTGGATATCTGGTTTTAAAATTTAGGGTCATTATATGAATCAATTACGGAGATCCTGTCGGAAGGAGAAGCATGCTCGTTGCTTCTCTTTATTTTTGAACTGACAGGTTCATTGATCCACACACATTTTGGTTTGGGCTGCAATGCTGGCAGCAATGTGGCCTAGAGTTAAATGTGTTTGGGTCTCACTTGGTTTACTATGGGTCGAGTTTAGGCCTGCGCATGAAACAATGAGCTCGAATCTTCTCACTTGTTTTTTATATGTCTATTTTACCTCCCTCAATTCATGCCCCTTTTGAATCGCATCCCTCAACCGTAGAACCGGGTATAACCTGTCCCCTAACTCCCAAAACCATTGCAAATCCCCAAGCAGTTTCGTCCGACGTGGCAGCTGACTTGCTGAGTCATCAAATGGGACCCACTTTATCAATGGCCTCCACCTCATGCCATATTCTCTCTCCCTCACCTCTCCCCACTCTCTCTTTTATCTCTTCCTCTTCTCTCACCTTCCATCATCACGAGGGAGGAGCTTGGCAGCCAGCCGGCTGCACCGCACGTGAGGAGGAGCTCGTCGGCATGGTGACGGCCGACACCCTCGTCTATCTCCTATGACATCCTGACTCGAGCACGTAGAGTAGTTGGGAGGACGGCGGGGCGTCATCCAAGAAGGGGGAGGAGGGGATCTTAAGGGACGAGGCGGAGGCCACACAGGCAAACCCATCTATGTCAGCTGCGGCGACGGCTGTCGGGGAGACCGGGGGGGGGGGAGGGGTGGCGTGACCATCGTGCTTTGTCCCGCTGCCGCGGTGTCCATCCACGGCCTGTCGGCGCTATCCACCTGAGAGAGAAAGGGTAAAGAGGGAGGAGAAAGGGTAGCTGACACATGGGGCCGATATTTATTTTTATTATTGTACTCACTAACATGTGGGTCCTATTCCGCCGGCAAGATGAGCGGCAAGGGCCTCTTCCGCCGGGCGCCACCATGAGATAACTGGTTGAGAGAGATGGTGATTAGGGAAGAAACATGAGGAAGAAGAGAAGAGGGAAGGAGGGTAGAAGAAGAAGTCTCACCGTCACGTTAGTTAAAATCAGTCTCAATATATTCTTAGAATTATATTTACACTGGTTTTGCCGTTAAGAGACGTAATTGAAACTGAACCATTAGATGAGGGATGTAAAGTGATCTTTTCCAAACAGTGGAGATACATGTGTATGACACGTGGCTTTTACGGCCGATTGTCATTCAGAGTGTTGCAAAAGTGAATATTGATGGTGCTTTTGCCTGCGACAGGGGAAGCAGGAACGGGCATTATCGTCAGGAACGGGCTTTTGTGATCCTTTCTTCTTGGATTCTTCTTGGAATATAATCAGGAACTGCCAGTCCGCAGAAGAGGCAGTCAGGCAGAAGCTCTTGCGTGTATAGATGGAATCCGGCTGGTGGCAGAATGGGTGAAAGTACTAAGGGTATAAGTGGGGCGGGCTGTGCCGCTAACCCGCTGGGTTGGCCCGCCCCACTAGCCCACTGACCCACATATGCTAACCCGCTTTCAAAGAGGTTGGTTGATGCGGGCGACCCGCTTTGCCCAGCGGCGCCGTCACCCGCCCCGCGACGCTAGGCGGAACGCTTGCCCTCGCCGAGAGCGCCATCGTCCTTCCTGCTTCATCGCAGCTACCGCGCAAACCGTCCTCATTGGCTTTTGCAACATTCATTGCTAGAAACATTTTTGAAACGACAGCTGCATCAACCCATGGCCATGGCGGCCAGCCATAGCAGGTAGCTACTTAGAAGAAACATCATCATCCACGTATGTATTTTTGCTCGATTCAACTTGGGGATTGAGGGATTTTGGTCTGTAGATCATGGGACACGATGTGACGCGGATTGTTCAGCTAGACGAGCACCAAGCCGAAGGAAACATAAAATCCCTACCTGGAGCATGTCACCCCGGAAAGCAAGAAGATGATACCGGTAGACCGGCTAAGTTTGCATAACCTTCATCAGCGATACCAAGCACAAAAATGGAATGAATGGGCAACGTGAAATAGTATATACCGTGGATGGAATCTCACTGAGGCGATCAAGAACTACATCGAACACTTGACAGCACTAGGAAGACGGCAACCTTCCAGAGTTCCAGTGCTAGCGGAAACGGAGTGACGGTCGAGCTCTTGCATTCAAGGACATCATATAGAGAAACAAGTTGCAATTCGATACAGCCGATTTCGTTGATAGTGGTGTCGTCCTGTGTGTGGCACAGTGTCGGCCGATTTCGTTGATTGTGTGACTGCTCCGCTAACACGCATGTCAACAAACGCTGTGATATTTAGCAGTTCATCAGTGCTAGCTGCAGCACCTGCTTCCAGCGGCAGAGCTTGCATCAATGCATTCACACTTCGTTGGTGTGAGATAGGGTGAGAAAACAACTCGTCTCCGCGCGCACGCTTCCCAAACTACTAAACGGTGTGTATTTTGCAAAAAAATTCTATAGAAAAGTTGTTTTAAAAAATCATATTAATCCATTTTTAAAATTTAAAATAGTTAATACTTAATTAATCATACACTAATGACTCACCTCGTTTTGCGCATCTTCCCAATCTCCTTTTTCTTAAACTCACCCTTAAGCCTTTTCGGCCTTAACTGCGCACGCGTGGATATGTGGGCTGACTGCGGGTTCTGGCGGAAACCCACGAGGTGCCCAGCGGGTATACTTGTGGGAAGATGCCTCAAACTTCTATGCGGACAGTGCGGGACGCGGGGCGGGCCGCCGCAATCCGTGAAACAACCAATGGCTGTGTTTAAATCCAAACTTCACTCCTTTTTCATCACATTAACCTGTCACATACACAACTTTTCAGTCACATTATTTCCAATTTCAACCAAAATTTAAACTTTCGATCCAACTAAACACAGCCATTGATTCTTGAAACGGACTGCGCAAATGTTGCTTATTCTATAGCACTGAATGAAAACGACAGATCCCGTCTCTGGCTCGTGTTGAGGGAGGTTCGGTCTGCTATCCCCATTGTTCCTTCTTTCCGCGTTGAGGTAATCTGCAGAGAGGCAAATGCGGTGGCGCATGGTCTCGCTCAGCTAGCTAGGAGAACGAAACAGTCTATGGTTTGGCGTGAGCAAGCTCCGGAGTGTGTTTCTGAGCTGTTGGCTTGCCATTGTAATCCTACTTTTAGTTGATCGATAAAGTTCTCCGGTTCCCCGCAAAAAAAAAAAGAAAAGAAAAAGAGAGTGTGGCGAAAGAACAAACATCAGTCAACTCTGGAGCCAAAAAAGAGCAATTTTACTATCACGTGGCCAACTGGTTACTGTGCATATCCGATTATCTCAACTTCTCAAGGAGGAAAAAACGGGAGTCTATATATATATGTCAATCTGTCAGTCTGACCTAACTAATTCAGAGCTGCACGCACCTTGATTGATCTACAATTCTACTCTAGTACATGATTAAGTTGACGTGTTCGACACTAATTCTCACACACTTCGTTATAATATTCCATAATTCAGAATTAATTATTAAGGTTAGCAGATAATTGATGCTAACTTATGAATTGTAAACCCATTCTTTGATTAAGATCCGAGGAGAACAAGCTGATTTTTACTGGTTCCACGGCAACATACATAAGACACGTCTTTTTCCCGATTAACATAAGACACGTTGTGCTCATGGACAAGCAACAGTATGTAGAATTGTAAGTTACATTTTCAAACTCAACAACTAACTTGAGAGTTATTCATGATTTATATTCCCAAAGTTTGACTTATACATTGTCCTAAACGACTTACGGAGGGAGTATTTATTACCATACACACTCATCACTTGCTCATTAGCTTATCATTTTGATCTGCTGCCCAAATGTAATTTAAAAAACTTAATTTTAAAATAATTAGAGTTATTTAATCATAGTTTTATTTTTCAATATTAACTTTTAAACCAGCACATATATTAAAAGTTTTACCTATAAATAACTTTTTTATTGTTTATTATTTTTTCATTGCGAGTTACTTCTTCCATTTCATATTATAAGTCACTTTGACTATTTTTCTAGTCAAACGTTTTTATATTTCACTAATTTTATAGAAAAAATGACAACATCACAACACCAAATTAGTTTTTGTTAAATGCAACATTAAATATATTTTAATAATACGTTTGTTTTGTGTTAAAAACAATGCTATATTTTTCTATAAATTTAGTTAAACTAAAAAAGATTAATCAAAAGAATATCAAAACGACTTATAATAGAGTAGTGGTTAACGAAAATGGAACAATATCATATAGATCATGCGACATTCTTTAATTCAAAACTTTAGAATTCTAGGCAAGGTTTATCTTTTTTTTAAAAAAAAGGTACTGGTGTTAAGGTTTAATAAAATGGTAGCACTGCAGTAGCTGACGACTGAGTAAAAGTGAAACGTTTAAAATAGCTTAGCTTAGCTAGCTTGCTCGTGCAGCCGAGCGGCGCCGGCAATTTCTCACCGGACCATCGCTTGGCCTCGAAGCATCTTTGTACCCAAGTGATAAGCTAGACGCGCTGGAGTGCTGGACCGTGTGGGCGCCCTGCCGTGCCGTGATCGCGTTGCCGATCGCGAGCGGCAATCTTTGACCCCCGCGACCGCGTACCTGTCGTCCCCCGGCGTACGCGCAGTATCCACTATCCAGCAGCACGAGCGCGCGCAACACACAAGTCACAATCGTTTGCTGGATGGAGCAGCGGTCCAACGACTGGCCGCTGGTTTGTTGGTCCCGTCAGTTGCGATTCGTTTGGACGCCGTCAGCAATGATTGCCTTGCTAGCAGCTGCTTGATTGCCAGGTAATAGCGGAGACAGCAATACTCTACTAGTAGAGTAGCACTACTAGTTAATGACGTAATGACCAAGTACTCGTGCACGCACGACGTGTATGCATGTACCGACGTACGCTACATTCCGTGCAGTTTCTTTACACCGAGTAACTTATTTACTGCACACGCCAACATACATCAGGGCTGACATTTCCAAGCGTCTCTCCGCTATATGAACGCGGATGCACACACAAGGGAACGCCTCTTGCTCTCCACAAACTTTCCATCACCACCTTTCGGGCGTTAACCAAACGCATCGTTCGTTCGTCTCTCTCTCGCTCGGCCCGCGTTCGGTTGCTTGTCACGACTCGAAAGCCTCAACGACAAAGAGGAGGACAAAGTAAGCGCGGCTAAGCTTCGTGCAGGCGCGCACGCCAAGTCGTCTTCGCCGGTGGTCAACGTCTCCACCGATCGATCGAGATGGCGTCGCCGGAGAGGCGATCGTCCACGACGACGACGTCGTCGCTCCTCGGCAGCTTTCGGACGGCGGTCAAGAAGGTCCGGTTCCTGCTCTCCTTCAGCGCGACGCGGTGGATCCTTTCCTCCATCGTCGGCTCGCGCGCCGGGCCGCGGCGCCGCGTCAGCTTCGGCCCGGCGGCGCGGCCGCCTAGCCTGCTCGACTACGAGGGCAGCGCCATCGTGTCGCCGCCGGCCAGGTCGGGGGCGCCGTCCAGGACGGCGAGCCTGGGGCCGTCGCCGGCGAGGACCGTGACGCGGACGAGCAGCGCGGCGTCCTCGGAGCTGCTGAGGACGTCGAGCGCCGGGTCGTCGTCGTCGTCGCCCGCCGGCGGCGGCGGCGACGACGACATCGACCGGCGAGCCGAGCTGTTCATCGCCAACTTCTACAAGCACATACAGATGGAGCGGCAGGTGTCGCTGCAGCTTCGGTACTTGGACAGGACGCCATCCAGGTGATGGATTTTTCGTACGTGGCAGGATCGATTTTTACAAAAAGTATCTCATCATCAAAAGCCAAAAAAAAAAGAAAAGGGTATGTGGATTTAGATGGGTGTTTTTCGTTCCATCATTTCTCCACATCTTAATTTTGGATTGTTTTCATGAGATAGATACTTTATTGATTCTTTTTATTGAGAGTTTGTAAATCTCTATCTCTATCTCTACTATTATAAAAATTGAAGATGTTTTTATCGGTACTATGGTACGTCATCCGAGCATAAGTAAGTTTTTAAGTTCGTTTGCTTTTATAAAAAACATAAGTAATAATATAAGGAATCTCTTTAAAAAACACACATGCTAACTTGAGACGATCGGACTCCTAATTATAGCTCCTGATTTTCTAAAAAAAATATATATCCAAACAAGTTCTCATAGTAAATTTCACCTTAACTAAAAAAAAGTATAACAATAATAAAATTAAAATAGCATTTTCCCGTTGCAATGCACATGTATTTTTTCTAGTCTCTACTATTATAAAAATTGAAGATGTTTCCACTCGAATTTTGGTACATCATCCGTGTTTGAATAAGTTTTAATTTTATGTTTCTGTCAAATCATTTCCTTTTTTTTTCCTTACACCGCCAAACTGTTCCTCTTATCCGAGATGGGCGGGCCAGCACATTTAAACACGCACACAGCGATCGGGCCCGTGCCTGAGTCTGCTTTCCACATGTGCCTTTGCGCGCCGCCGTGATTGGGCCCGCAACGTCCTCTCACTCGCGATTTTTTACATGCCCCACTAGGCCCGCAACACCCTCACAAGCGCGATCTGCCCTTGCCGCATGTCTTACTGGGATCGCGTCGCCCTCGCGCACGATTTAAAAATTGAAGATTGTTTTGTCAAAACTATGGTACGTCATCCATATTCGATTCCCGTCACGCGTAACATTCATGGCGAAGTGACACTCGCGAGCAAACTGCGAAAGAGAGTCCGTGCAATGTGGATATCAAGCGAATGAAACTCGCATAGTCCGTGTGGATATCACGTACGTCATTGCCCGGATCATCCGATTCTTGAGACATGTTAGCATGATTTCAAGTTAGTCTTTACACATGCTCGTACGTACTACCAGGGATACAGTTACAAATAATCCATAAGAATAAATTTTACTTTCAAAAAGAACATGCCAACTGAAATAAAGAACGATCGAAGTTGTTGATTCCGTCCGTCATCAATTCCTGCCCGACTTGAGAGAAAGCTGGACAACAAATCGAGCTTGTGTTTGAAGTCCTCATTGTTTGGCTTATGCTTATTCCTATAAGCCAAATTTTAAAATTTTGAACTTAATTCTGAATTCAACTTTTTGGTTTTTTTTATTGTACTTTATTTTACAACATTTGCTTTTGAGTCGCTAAGAACATGTATATAAAATATTTGCACACAAATAGTCTTTTATTTGGTAATAAGTGATTCGGATAAGCACATGAATAACCGAAACAATGGATTGTGATTATTTATCCACTAACACAAATGTACAAATTATATTGGCCCTACCCGTTGCAACGCACAGACATCTTTTCTAGTCTTTATTATTCTAAAAATTGAAGATGTTTTTGCCTGTACTTTGCTAATTCATCAGTGTATGAGTCGGTTTTTAAGTCTGTTCCCTTTTAGAAATACAGATCCGTATTTGAGTAGCAAAATCCTAATAACTACACTAAGTGGGGATCACTTGTATAGTATTATAGGATTTGGTAATAAGTGAATCGGATAAGCACATGAATAAACGAAACAATGGACTGTGATTATTTATCCACTGTTATTTATGCACTGACACATATGTACAAATTATATTGGCCCTACCCGTTGCAACACACATACATCTTTTCTAGTCTTTATTATTCTAAAAATTAAAGATGTTTTTGCTTGTACTTTGCTAAGTCATCAGTGTATGAGTCGGTTTTTAAGTCTGTTCCCTTTTAGAAATACAGATATGTATCTGAGTCATTTTTGGAAATACAAAAGAAGTCATATAAGAAATCTTTTTAAAAAATTTGTATGCTAACTTGAAATGATCGAACTCCTAATTGTAGCTCATGATTTTCTAAAAAATACATATCCAAGCGAATTCCAATAGTGCATTTCACCTTAACTAAACCATATAACCTTAACTAAACCATATAACAATAATAAGATTAAAATAACCATCACTCGTTGCAACACACGGGCTTTTTTTCTAGTCTCTACTTACTTGAAAAATTCAAAATGTTTCCTTCGTCCAACAAAAATAAAAAAGCAAAAAAAAAAGTCCGATTGCTCTTATAAAGCGAAGAAAAAAAAATAGCGTATAACCGATTCTCCTTAAAAACGAAAAAAAGCCCGAGAAAAAATAGCGGAAAAAATAACTAAAAAAAGTCGGTTTCCCAAAGTGGCGAAAAAACAATAAAAATCTGGTTTTCGTCGTCAGTAAAAAAAGCAAAAAAAAAAAGAACATGCTAGGAAGAAAAGTCAGAAAGAAATGTGCCATTTCTGAAAAATGGTTTGGGAAAACCACACAAGAAAAAAACACAGTTTATAAAAAGCATGCCGCTCTGAAAAAACTATTAGAAAAAATACCGTTTATAAAAAACCGGGTTGAAAAAACAATCGGATTTAACATGAGAAAAAATCGTTGTTTCTAAAAACGGTTTGAGAAATACTGTCTGACTTAACAAGAGAAAAAAACCATCATTTCTAAACAAAGGTTAGAGAAAACTGTCCGACTCAACGCGAGAAAAAAAAACTGCCGTTTATAATAAGAACCGCTCCGAAAAACCGTCCGAATCAACGCGAGATAAAATTGATGGACGCTTGGGTTGGATAGGATCCATCAATTTTTTTTCCATTTCCTATACGACTTTTGTTTCCTCATCTATTCTATTCTCATGTATTGGAGACCCTGCACGTCTCTGTATGCAATTACTAGACTATTTGTTTTTGTTAAGTATAGCTACTATTCTTGATAACATTTGATATGGAAATAATATTAAAATATAAACATATTTTAAATTGTTATTTAGATAAGAGTGCACAATGACTCTATTTTGTGTAGACTTGACCATGCGAGGCAGTGTAGGATTTGATTGATCCTATTATTGGTTGCAAGAATGAGATTAAAAGAGTATTTTAGATTATATGCATGTTGTCATATGAATAATCCAATTATTTTAGGTAAATTAAGCTTTGGTAAGGTTGCCATCGTCGAGGTTGGACCATTACATTGAAGATGTTCCAAGTTTCTGATTATCTTAGCTATAAATGATCCATACAAACATTGTCATTGAAATAGTTATGCATAGAAAACGTATATTATGATTATATTTTTTTTTCACCGATTGCAATGCACGGACATTTTCGCTAGTTATTATAAAAGTTCAAGGTGTTTTTGTCTCAAATCTTCGTACGCCGTCCGAATTTTTTTCGTCGTCGCGTCGGCTTAGTTCCCGCATGTCACTCAGAGATGCACACACGCTATTCCACACATGTGATAGAGGAAAGAATTTTTTTTATTTATAATTTTTTTTATTAAAAGTTTTACAAAAATAATTTTCCATTTTGAAAATTGACGGAATTAGTCGCCTACCGCCCTCTGGGAGGGCGATTTTTAAAAATCGCCCTCCCAGAGGGCGGCGAAAATGACGTGGCAGCCGGCCGTTCGCTCTCGGGCGACGGCCGTCAACGAAATTTGCAGGCGGCCCCCTTGCCGCCCTCCGCTAGGGCGATTTTATACTGTGCGGGGGGCCGCCTGCAAATGGGCGGCGAGGGGGGGCATGGAATTTTGCAGGCGGCCCCCTTGCCGCCCTCCGCTAGGGCGATTTTCTACTGTGGGGGGGGCCGCCTGCAAATGGGCGGCGAGGGGGCATGGAATTTTGCAGGCGGCCCCCTTGCCGCCCTGGGGGAGGGCGATTTTGTACTGTGCTCTATATTTTTTTATAAATATCAATAGTTATCAAATCTTTTTATATTGAAAACTATACAAGATTAAAATCTCCAAGACTGGTAAAATACAATTTTATTATTTTTTAGGGCATATTTGGATTGTTACCGTACAAATATTTTGTTAGTGCCAAAATATAAGCAAGTTTTGGCACTACCAAATATTTGGTAAGGTAAAATTGCATTTGATCATATTTGGTTTGCTGCCAAAATGTAAAATTGTAGTGAAGAATGTTCTACATAATCTCAAATCTAGATTACGTATTACCAATGAATAGGCTTCCATTTTCGTGTGTGGTGTGCTAGTGGGAAAGAAGATATGAAGAGGTTGCCTTCAGATTGTCAATTATATAGCGTCGTTTTCACTGCAATATATGTGAACTCAATGAGATACATTATTCATTAGATGTGACAAGACGATCACGCGTGGGCGTGATTCACTTTATGTCAACAGGCAGCGCCGAAAGTTGATAGTGATAACTCGAGCTGCCGCTTTTCATGTGTGCTGTTGTGGACTGTGCGCGCTACTGGATATGGCACTACCGTGAAGCGCCGAAAGTGTGTTGTTGTGAGCATAAGTTGTTCAAGCACCATATGAATGAAAAGAACTACGTAGACGAGACAAACACAAGTAGTACTGCAGTAGTAATAGCAAAAGTAGTACTGCTTTACAAGTTTGTAAGCCAAAAGAAACGGTCACATAAGGACTGAAGAGGTAGAACACTACTGACGAGGCCTCTTACCCCTGTCCCTCCTACCCTGCGCCCTAATGTGCCCCTGGGAGTACGTGAGTCGGTCCGGGGGTACGGCACGGCCAACCCGTCCTGCCTGTACAGGTGTGACCTCTGGCTGCTCCTGAGTGTGCGCCTCTGGAGCTCCTCCAAGCTGAGAGGAGCCTAGTACGTCCTGGTGGTCTGCACCGTGCAAGTCGTCGTCGTAGAACTGGCTAGTAGGACCAGTCCTACCGGCGTGAGACGAAGAGGCCCCAGTACCGAAGATCCCGGCTACATATCCTGCTGGACAAGGACCATCAGTTTCGTACAAGTATTTAACAGTAGTAATAAAAAGTAAAGTACCGTGTGGGCGAGGGATCGACGCTCCGTGAGAGGAAGAGCTGGCGAACGCGCCCGAAGAGGTGGCGAACGCCCCTGCGGAGCTCGCGGAAGCGCCGGTCGTGCCTGCGAACGCGCTCGAAGGCAGACGAGGTCCTGCGATGAGGAAACGTGCAGTTAAAACATGGTGATATATTCGTGCAAAAGCTGAAACAAAAATGAACTAATA